CCGGAAGTGTTTCGGAGGGTACCGGGTACTTATCGGGTCACCGGAAAGGAGTTTCGGGCACCCTCGGCAAAGATATGGGTCTAATGGGCCAAAGGGTTAACAGACCAGCCCCTGGTGCGCCCCTTCTTTGGACAGCAGGCCCTAAGGGAAGGAAAGGGGGTAGAGTATTCAACCCAAATTTATTGATTCGACACAAGGGGAGCCAAAGAATACTTGCAAGTACTAGCAGTTGAGTTATCAATTTAACCACACCTGGAGATTAATTATCTATAGCAAAGTGATTAGTAGCACATTAATATGATAGTTTTGATAATAATGATAACAGTAACGGTGACAGTGATAGCAATAGTTTTGTAGCAAGTGCAATAGTGACAGCAGCAATAGTAACTTAGAAAAAACAATATGAGGTAAATTCGTAGGCATTGGATCGGTGATTCGTTGGATGATATTCATCATGAGACAGTTATAACCTAGGGCGATATGGCACTAGCTCCAGTTCATAAATATAATGTAGGCATGTATTCCGTAAATAGTCATACGTGCTTATGGAAAAAACCTGCATGACATCTTTTTTCCTACCTTACCATGGCAGCAGGGTCCTATTGGAAACTAAGGGATATTAAGGCCTCCTTTTAATATAGAACCGGAACAAAGCACTAACACATGGTGAATATATGAACTCCTCAAACTACGGTCATCACCGAGAGTGGTCCCGACTATTGTCACTCCGGGGTTGCCGGATCATAGCGCGTAGTAGGTGACTATAACTTGCAAGATCGGATTTAGAACATGAATACAATGATGATAACATAAGAGGTTCAGACCTGAAATCATGGCACCAAGCCCAAAGTGACAAGCATTAAGCATGGCAAAGTCATAGCAACATCAATCTCAAAATATAATGGATACTAGGGATCAAGCCTTAACAAAACTAACTCGATTACATGATGAATCTCATCCATCTTCTAGAGACAAAGAGAACGAAAGAGAGACAGGGGAAAAAGAAGCAGCCATCCTGCTGCTGCAGCTGGCGGCCCATGCCGCCGCAGTGACTCCGTCCTCCTCCGCCATCTCTCCTCCTCCTGCCCCTCATTCGCCTTTGCTCCGCCATGGGGCCTGCACCCGCAAATCAGCTCACATCTCCACCAACCACACCGGTCGCCTCTGGTCTAGGGTTTGCCGCCGCTGGCCCTCCTGGTTGGAGGTTCTCGTGGCTCCCTGCATACGGCTACTGTGGTGGGGTGGGCGGCGCTGGCGCCATCCCTGACTCGCTGTTCGGCCCGTCCCCGTTATGGTACAATCTTTTTTGGGCCCTTCGTTCTTCCTTTGTGTTCTGGTGTTGTTGCTCGATTGTGCCGGTCAGTTGGATGTGGGGATTAAACGATAGGGGCCGTAGTGGTGGATGCTTCTATGTATATCTTCACGTGTTGCCGTTGATGCGGACAGTTTGCTCGATTGGGCCGGTCGGTTGGATTTGGGGATTAAAGGGCAGGGGCAGTAGTGGTGGATGCTTCTATGTGTATCTTCACGTATTGCCATTGATGCGGACCATTGGGGTTTAGATTAGGTGCTTTTCTAGCTTATTAGATGGGTTTGGTGGTCCATCGTAAATATTTACCCTCCATTTTCAGTTCAGAATTTTTTTTCTCTTCTGAGGATAGTTAGTTCAGAAAAAATATTTACCATTATCTTGCAAAGTAGCATAGCAAAGTGTAAGAATGTTTTTCCAAGACCACTAGGCATTCTCATATAAAATATTAATTCCCATTTGATGTCAGTTTTACTTTGCTCTTTCAACCGTCAAAAGATCAATAATACCCTTAGGAACAAGACATCAAAGCTTTGTATGTGTTATTCAATGAGATTCAGCTGCTAAACAATTGCTATGCACACATCATCTGTTTATTTTACGTGCTGATTTTCTTAACTGCATTAACTTCCCAAAGTATTTATTTTGTTGATCAGGAAATATCAGTCTACTGTCGGATAAGAAGTTCTCTCTGTAAAGAGGATTTTTTATGTTATGTACTTTGCTCCCAGAGATAATTTGATGCACCAGCATTATCGATTTTGTTAGGCATTGATCAGTTAACTGCGCGTCTTCTTCTTTACCCCTTATTCTTCTCCATCTTTACCTTTGATGATTCGAGGATAGGCCTCGGGCGATTCCTGTCAGCATACATAGTTCAGGTTTGTACACCTGTCAATTGTCATTTTGGTGCCATCCATGTGCGCTAGATCAAGTATTGTCATAAGTAGTTAAGTAAGTATTTCGGACTTATAACTCAGTCTGTTGCTGTTCATGTCTGCTACAAATAATTCAAAAAAAGAAGCAGCAAAAAGTTATCTATCAATACACAGTAAACTAGATTAGGTACTGTAGCAACATGTCATTACACTCTCCAAGAGGGGACTGCAGGGCGAGCGATGGGCCTGTCCACGTAGGCAGAAGCAGGTGCCTTTTATCCTGCTTCAATGAGTTATGGCCACGAAGGAAATTTCCTACTAGGAACATATGCAATGTTTGGTCATCTCTGTCATCTTACTGTCAAAAGCATCTGTGGAATGCAATGTGGACTGTAATACTTCTTGAAGAGACAATACTTGTTATTTTTATGCAATTTTCTAACTGCATTGGCAGGAAAAAAATCCGTTTTCTGTTAATGTAATCTTCAATACATCTTTATCTGCTGCCGGCAACTTCGAACTTCTGTTCTACTTTCTATTTATTCTCTGATGAAGTAGTAAAAGAAATGATCCAATAACAGTACGTAGTATAGATTTGAGAAGGTGAAACGGGCACACCCCATCTGGCACCGCTCCAACTTCCTTCTAGACGGTGCACCAAGGGTGCGCCCCAACCACTAGTTCATTGCCAAGATGCAAAGGTTCATGCAAAAACAATGCCATGTGAGGTTTTCATATGTGCGAAAACCTTCAGAGACCACACAATCTTCTCTCCTTATTTATTCTTGTTTCTTGCCCTTTCTTCTCGGTTTCAAACCTCGTTCGTGGGGTTTGTCATTTGCGGGCTAATTGGCACTCCAAGTCACTAATGGTGCCATTTCGCTTGATCACGGTTTTGTCGGTTCGTCTTCATTATCTCAATCATTCATATACTCCATCAGATTCTGCCTCTCAGCGGAGTGGTATATAAACAGGCAAAGGTTATCTTCCCTCGCCATCCTCAGTTACAACATTGCCTTCACGACTAATCTGATCTGACCTACTGCCGTAGGATTTTTTGACATTTCACACGAGCTGCAATCAGACATGGCATCCCGTTTTACTCTACTTGCGTGCATCGGCGCGCTGTTTGCCGGCGCCGCTACCGCTGTTCCGCCGGCAACATTCGTCTTCGGCGACTCGCTCGTCGACGCCGGCAACAATAACTACATCGTCACGCTGTCCCGGGCGAATTACGCCCCCAACGGCATCGATTTCAACGGCCACCAGCCCACCGGCCGGTACACCAACGGCCGGACCATCATCGACATACTAGGTGATAAACATTTCGCATCTGAATTTTACTGTCACGCTGCCTCGGTTCTCTATTTAAAGAAAAAACTTTGGCACGATTTCAGGGCAAGAGATGGGGCTGGGAGGGTTTGTGCCGCCCTACATGGACCCAAACACCACCGGCGACGTCCTGTTCGGAGGCGTCAACTACGCCTCCGGCGGCGGCGGCATACTCAACCAGACCGGAAGCATCTTCGTCAGTATGCTTACTAAACTGCTCGCTTTTTGTGTCGAGATCCTTCTTGTTTCCCCTTTTCATCAACATGTCCCGCGTAAGCTGAGGATCATTGCTTCCGCATGAGGCCTTCTCCGATAGCTTGCCTTGTGCGTGATCTAGCAATAGAGACTTGTAGTTAATCCATATCGCAGCACATTTCATAGTTGATGTAAATTTTCAGTTCCGGCAGTAATTTCTCTTTTGTGAAACGACGATTCCGGCAGGATAATCGCGTCTTAAATGAAGTTTTATTTCCCTTAAGCTGCTTGTGGAGTATTACAAAACGCAAGGTCTTTGATCGAGTGGTAGATCGTGAAATTTGGGCAGGGTGGGCGTATAAACCTGGATGCGCAGATTGACAAATACGCCAAGAACCGGCGCGACATGATGACACGGCGCGGGGAGGTGGCAGCGGTGAGCCGGCTGAGGGGCGCGCTCTTCTCGGTCACCATGGGCTCCAAAGACTTCATCAACAACTACCTGGCCCCCATCCTCTCCGCGCCGGAGCGCGCCGTGACGCCCCCGGAGACCTTCATCAACGGCATGATCGCCAAGTACCGGCAGCAGCTCATCGTACGTGCATGCCATCCCATTCCCAGCCTTATTAGCTCGTTCGTCTCGTCGCATGCATGATCATGTCAACAGCTTCAGTTCGTGGTGATTAACCAATTAGAGTTTGCTTACATGATCGCATTGGGCGCAGAGGCTGTACCTTCTGGACGCCCGTAAGATCGTGGTGGTGAACGTGGGGCCGATCGGCTGCATCCCTTACCTGAGGGACATCATGACGACCGGGGCCGGAGCCGGGGCCGGGGCGTGCGCCGAGTTCCCGAACCAGCTGGCCCAGTCCTTCAACCGCAAGCTGCGCGCCGTGGTGACCGAGCTGGGCGCCGGCCTCGGCGGCTCGCGCTTCGTCTACGCCGACGTCTACCGCATCGTCTCCGACATCATCGCCAACTACAAGTCGCACGGTACCACAATATAGCCCATACGACATCAAGTCATCAGGCATGATCGATCAGATGGAGAAACAGGAGTTTATATGTGACTCGGCGTTGCGTTGATCTGTCTGTGTGTGTGTAGGGTTCGAGGTGGCGGACTCGGCGTGCTGCTACGTGGGCGGGCGGTTCGGCGGGCTGGCGCCCTGCGCGCCCGCGTCGAGCTACTGCGCGGACAGGTCCAAGTACGTGTTCTGGGACGCGTATCACCCCAGCGACGCCGCCAACGCGCTCATAGCCAGCCGCATCCTCGACGGCGACCCGGCGGATATCTCCCCTGTCAACGTGCGCCACCTGGTCTTGGACGATGCTTAGCTTAGAATCATGCCTGCTGTATCTCAAGAGGCTGTTTGCTTCCCTCAGTGTGACCGGCTAGATAGAAATCCAGGAAGATAGCCCGCAGCCTGCGAGAACGACGACGGCGTCGGCGTGGACGGGCTCGCGCGCGTGCTCCTGGTAGTTGGACGACGCGTTGCAGGAATGCGACCGTAGGTAGACAGGTCGCCCACACCCATGAAAACAGTGGCATACGCAGACGGCGGCGTGTAGGAAACGGGTAGTTAGCAGTCCACGATGATGTTGTTCCATTGGTACAGGTCAAATCCTGGAGTAGGCCGGCGTGGATTGGTCGAGTCAGCCCGCATCCCCAGTTCAATTATCAAGCCAATGGTTTAGGTGTCAGATACTAAGAGTTATGCCGCAACTATATCAGCCCAACTCTGTTTCTGTTTATGTAACCCTGTGGCGTTTAAAAGACTTATTATGCTACGACTATATGTTTATGGGCTAAGACAAATACCCTGTCGCTGTAATCGACTGGCATGCTATCATCTGAATGACAATTTGGAATACCAGTAACTTAGTTTAGTTACATATATAAATAACAATTACATTTTGCACGTGCATCACCGGGTTCATGTGATTTTTGATTAACCGGACAACTCTATTGAGGATGTGTTGTAATGGTTTTCATCTGGTTTCCGTAAATTAACCGGACAACTCTATTCTACCTTTTTAATGAATCGGAACCTAAGGGGCCATGTTTCAAAAAATATATTTATTTTGCCCGTGCTGATGTGATTTTTCATTGAATTAAAAAAATGGCAAAGAAATAACTCACATTAAAGATGTTGCTCATACGCTGCCTGCTAACCACACCCCCATGGTATCCATCCTTCGGAGTCTTTTCTGAGATTATGGCCCTGTTTGGTTCATAAGTCCTAGGACCTTTTTTTAGTCCCAACTTATAAGTCTCAAGTCCCTAAAAAGTCCCTACCTGTTTGGTTTCTGGGACTTATAAGTCCCTATAAGACCATATTACAACTATAAGTCCCTATAAGTCCCTCCTTGAGAGTCTTATTTCATAAGTCCCAAATGCCCACTTTAAGTCCCTATAAGTCCCTCCTGTTTGGTTTAGATGGGACTTATAGGGACTTTTTTAAGTCCCTAAGCCAATAAGTCCCCGGAAACAAACATCCTCTATGTATTGGTCATTGGCTACAGGTGAATATAATTAGGTTCGCTGATCATCCAATATGACCCGCATCAGGTCGCGCATTAATTAAGTGGTGGGCTATATAAGTGGGATATATTCACGTCTTGAATAATGAGGGGGGTAAAGAAGAAAGTTCGATTGCTGGCTACAGAGGAAACCGAAGCCCTAACTCCCCATTCTTTCTATCTTATAGTCAAAAGTGTTTTTGTTTGAAACGGAGGCAAAAGATTTGCCTCATATATTAAATAAGGAGAGAAGAGTTTGTTACAACACACACCCATAATACGGCATGACAATTATTCTCGCAATAGAAAAGACCCTAACTTCTTTGCCCTGGCGGTGATCCAAAGGTTTGCCTCGTCGATGATGGTGTTGAGTAGAGTTGGCGGAGGCGTGCTCTTATGCCGGAACACTCTTGCGTTTCTCTCATTCCAAATGACCCACGACACAAGCATGGTGATCAAGGCCTTCGCTTTTCGGTTGGTGGTGCCCACGGCGCTCATGCTCGGCCACCATGTCTTGACTAAGTCGAAGGAGCTCCACGCCGACGTGTCCATGTCGTGTATGAGAAATTTCTGAATAACCAAATTCCAAAGCCTCAACGTGAAGCGGCATCTGAAGAATAGATGTGTTCCACATTATTGCACTCTCCTGCAAAAGGGGCCACCTTCAGTTGGTCAAAAGCGTTGCAAATAAACGGGGCCGCCTTCAGATTTTTGGTGAAAGTCATTGCAAAAATATGGAGTACTACCCACCTTCAGATTCTTGGCCGAAAACATTGCAAACTTATGGACAATCTTGCGGAAGACGGAGTTCTGTCTACAAAGCATAGATGCCTACGTGTGAGATGCTAGTACAACCTATAAAATTTCAGTGTAGCACTTTCAAAAAGTTTCCCCCATTCTGTTGAACAAACAAATATGGCCAAAAAAATAGCACTCCACTGCAATGTATGTGGTGTACGTACGTAGAGAAAAGATTAACAAACAACAAAATTATAGACATGATATTAAATAAAGGACTGTGATATTTGGCACATATGTGCCATATAAGCAAAACTGCCACACCTCTACTTCTTTCACTTTAAAGTACCACACGGTCCCTCTTCCTTCGACCCCACCTTTTCCCGAACGACCTTGCAGACTCGCCGGAGAAATCTGCTTCTCCCGCACATCTCACGCGCCCACCCCCGAGAAAACTGCCACTTCTTCATGTTTACCACATGATAAAAAAATATTGCGCATGTGGGATTTGAACCCACACCTCCTTGGCACCAAAGCGCGCCACCACAACAACCTCACCCTTAGGTATTTGTTGCTCAAACTAAAGAAACTAATCGTTTTGATGTTTTTTTTACAATTGTGTTACTACAAAAAAGTACAAAAAATTACCACTATTTTCCCTCGAGACAAAGTTACCATGGTATTCGCATGCAAGTTATCAGACCTGTGTTGCGTAAGTTACCGTGCTATTTACATAGAACTTACCAGGTACTATGTTTCAACAACTACACCCCTTTCAAAGTTACCACTGTGTTATAAGGTCTTCGATGTGTAAAATATTGTGGTACTTACACATAAGTTATCAGGGTATGTGTACATCAACCTCGTCCTTGGTCAAAGTTACCATGGGGGATTGTACATGAGTTACCAGGTCTACAGTTCGTATATTATCATGGTACTTACACCTAAAAACCTGGGTGTGTTTCGGTAACTCTTTTCATAACTTTTTCGATGTTTTTGCGTAACTTATCACGCCTATAGCGGGTCAAGGTGGGCCGTTTTTCTGGGTCAACCCACGAGCACATGTGCCTCCTCATGACACTAAACATTATGTGGCTTTTCTGTGGCACATCATGTGTTGTGTTCATCTAAAAGGCCTCGCGAGGCGAGCGTATGTTTTTAACAACTTGTTTTCCTTTGGTAAAACATTACCATCATGTTTATATTGTAACTTATCGGTTATGCGGTGCTTATATTATCATGTTATTCACACAAAAATTATCGGGGATGTTTTGAACAACTTTTTCCCGGGACAAAAGGTTATCATGTTGATTCTAGGTAACCTATCAAGCCCGCGGTGCTTAAAATATCATGCTATTTACACAAAATTTATCAAGAGTATGTTTCAGCAAAATTTCCCCCCACGGGTCAAAAATTTATCATGGTGTTTAGTTATCGTGGTGCATATGTTTTCATGCTATTTACACATAAAAATACCAGGGAAGGGAGGTATAGTACCGTGCTATTTACACAGAAGATACCGGAGTATCTTTTCAAAAAAAAAATCCCTATGGTCAAAGTTAACATGGTGTTTCTATCTCAGTTATCAGATGTGCGCTGCGTATATTACCATCTATTTACACATAAATTATCTGGTATATTTTCACATTTTTCTTCCCAAATGGTTAAAGTTACCACGATGTTTGTATCTAAATTATCAGGTCTATGGCGTGAATGTTATCGTGCTATTTATATAAATTACCCGGGGCCGGGGTTCAACAGATTTCTTCCCAATGATCAAAGTTACCATGATGCTTTCACCAAAGTTATCACGCCTTCAATGCTTATGACCATGCTACTTACACATAATGTACCGTGTGGTATACAAAAGTTATCATGTTGGTGGTGCGTCATTTATCGTGGTGGTGATGGAGAATTTACCACGGGAAAAGTTTGTGTGTCAGGTTTGATAGGTGAAAAAAAGTTTTTCAGTGATAAAATATTAAAGGCAAAACATGTCAAAAACAGTATTTTCCTTAGCTTGTTCAACAATGAGTGTCATGGGTGAGATGGTTGGCTCCCTTCGTTGATTACCTATAGACCAGAGATCAAATCCCAATTAAAGCATTGTTTTTGCCCAAAAATCTGAAAGGCGCGTGGGGCCGTAACTGGTGGTTGAAAGAAAGGAAATCAGGAGGGCGGGAAAGGAAGGAGATCAAGAGGACGTGCGGGAATGGAAGGAGATCGCGAGGAAAGGAAAGAGATAGCGAGGACGTGCGGGAAAGGAAGGAGATCGGGAGGGTGTGGCAGTTTTGCAATCTGCCACACAGTTGCCACTTACATATTTCGTTAAATAAAAAAGGTGAAAACTTTTTAGAAAAACAACTACACATCTATTAGCTTTCCGTAAATTGATTATGCCACTGCCTCCAAAAGAATGATACATGACACATATATTCGCATGAAAAAAATATAGTAAGCTCACAATAATTTATTTTTCCATTGACAAACACACAATTTAAGTTCTT